GCCCCCGCGCCGCGGCTCTTGGTCGAAAGCAAAGGCTGCAGGGAAGGCGGCTCCTTTGGTAGGTAAGGTGCCAAGGGGACTCACCGCGCCCACCATGTCTCCCCCCCCCGCCCCCTGTATTTTTTCTTTTAAAGTAAGAAAGTCTCACAAAAAAAGGTAAGACACACGCTTTGACTCTTTCAGTAAGATCAAGGAATTAGTATCAGAAGGATGATCCCGAGGAGCCAAGGAAGAAGAAGGTCCTTAAACAAAAGCGCAACCCCAGGCTGGGAGGAGGCCAAGCACCCCGAGGCACCCTCCTCCAGCTGTTCTGGCCTTTTTTGGGGGGAGGGGCTTTCCCTGAAAGGTGGCTAGGTGGGATCCGGTCCCCCCTCCCCGATAAAGGTTCCAAGGCCCTGCTCGCCTAAAGGATCCCTGCCTGCCTAGGAAAGAAAGCGGGAGTTTATTTATTTACAGGCCATTTGCCCGAGTTGTCAAACTTCCGGGCAGGCAGAACAAACAGACGGAGAAGGGCTGTTTCCTTCCGAAAAACCTGTCCTGAACTGGCTTCAAAGGAAAGCTCTTCACAGTTTTAAAAGGCACGACGCCAGGTGACAGGGAAGGAAGCTACCTGGTTGAGGAAGGCAAGGGTCGCTGTGCCCGGGGCCAGGCCCTATGTGCCCTCCTGGCCAAAGGAAAGGCTTTGCTGCCCCGGTCTCTCTCCCCACCCAAGCGCCTCTCGGTGTTCTCGGGAGAGCAAGGCATGGAGCAAACCGAGGCTGTCCGGTGTGACTACCGTAAGTGCCACCCACGGGTGGGTTCCACCCTCCCTATTCCACAAGGGCCACGTTGGCCCTTTTCATGCATGTCAGACCAGCCAGAGAAGGTGTAAAGAAAAAGGTTTGCCTCCTGCAAACATCTGGGGTTCCCAGCTGAAATTCCTCTTCCGCTGTGGCTACGAGGGGGTGCTGATAAGTATTGAGCCTTTCCCATAAAAAATTCAGCTAGGAAGCTATAAATTGCAGGGTGTATTGGCCAATTTGTCTGTATTCAATGGTGGACTGGTGGACTACTTCCAACAGGGTTCAACCATCAATGCAACAATATTCGTCATCTAGTCGTTTAGTCGTGTCCGACACTTCGTGACCCCATGGACTAGAGCACGCCAGGCACTCCTGTCTTCCACTGCCTCCCGGAGTTGGGTCAAATTCATCTTGGTTGCTTTGACGACACTGTCCAACCATCTCGTCCTCTGTCGTCCCCTTCTCCTCTTGCTTTCACACTTTCCCAACATCAAGGTCTTTTCCAAGGAGTCTTCTCATGAGATGGCCAAAGAACTGGAGCCTCAGCTTCAGGATCTGTCCTTCCAGTGAGCACTCAGATTTGAGTTCCTTTAGAATTGAAAGGTTTGTTCTCCTTGCAGTCCAGGGGATTCTCAAGAGCCTCCTCCAGCACCACAATTCAAAGGCATCAATTCTTCGGCGGTCAGCTTTCTTTATGGTCCAGCTCTTACTTCCATACATCAC